CCCAATTGCATTTCACAATGATTTGATGTTTAGGCAATTAGGATTGATATTTACTTGAAAACAATTGATTTGCAAGGGTTTTAGTTACTAAATCTATACGTGTGTTCTGCAGCAAAAATTAAGGCAGTTAAGCCCTCAAATAAATGCATCTATGTGTGGGTGCATGTAAAAATTTATGAATCCATCTCATTGAAAGCAAAAAAAAAGGCCAAAAATATATGAATGAAAGTAAAACTAAATCATGCACACAGGAACACATACACCGTAGTAAAAAATGGAGTAAAATATTTTAAAATCCCCTCAGGGTAATCGCAGCCAAAAGAATAAGTCAAAGTTTGAGCAATCTGTCCTACCATGAAAAACGACGAAGTCATGCTACATCCAGAGTCGGTCAGAAATCAGTAACAGTACAGAAAAAAAAAATCCACAGAGTGAGAAGAAAACGCTCACCGGCCCCACCAATTCGATCTCAAACACAGAGAGAACAAATCCTCACAACTTCCAGCTTCGCTAGTGCTCTTTTCACGACCCACAACAAACCATCACCTCCTTTTTAACCTCTGGCCCACGACCAGCTGAGCTACCTACACCTGCTTGACCACAAGGCGCTAACATCTCCCCCCCCCCCCCCCTTCTCGTCCCGGTGCGGGGACATAAACACCCACACGCAATGATCATTAGTCAAAGTCACGCAACATCATAAGAAGCCAGCGCCCTACTCCCGCCCTCTGAAATCCCCGCGTGTATATCCCGGGAGCCGGCGGTTCGATAAAACTTAGATAAAAGGAGATAAAAAAAAGGCAGCAGTGAGTAAACAAGAGGTAAGCGAAACCGGCACAAAATCCCACATCTCAAAGCGAGAGCGTCAAACTTGCAACAACAACACCACAGATTAGTAGCGTGCGTGTGAGGGGCGGCTGGTAAAAGAGTCGTGAGTCTGATAAACCCAATCTGGACGTTACTTCCTCATGGTTTTCTAACCTCATTTCACGCGTCCCCGCACCGCCGTAAGACGCGGTGTACACAGGCCGACATAAATCGGATTGATCACTGCTTGAATCCAGGAATTGACCAATCCACGATTCTCAACCTTTCAAAACAGATTCGGCAAATTCTGTTCAGCTAAAAGCTATGCTACGCTACACCACATTACACTACACAACACAAAACTATAGCATTTTTAAAGATGTAATGTCCATGTGCTGTAGGGATAGATTATCAATGGAAATCTTACCTAAAACAAGAGCAAGAGGAACGGTCCTAATTCCTTAGTCTCTACTCAGCCATCTTCTCTGCACACACTCATCATGTGTAGAGAGACTGCATCCTAACTTTTATACTAGAAAATCCAGTCCACCGAACAATCACAAACACGCTACCCGTCAAGCAACAGGCGCTAAACAGCTGGTCAATCCGTCATTAAATAAGTCAGGCACTGTTATGTTTGCAGTCGTTCTTAAAAGGGGGGGGTCCCAAAAAGGCGTCGCCAACTGAAGGATCACAAGTAGCGCGCCACAATAACAAAAGCATTGTGAGTAGGGTAGCATGGTATTGGGGG